TATAGTTAAGGAGATCACAAAAAAAAAGAGGAGGTGCCATGCCTGGCGTAAACAAGGATCTTTAGTTAGGCAGGTAATACTAAAGGAACCTATAGGGAAAAGACCTTTAGAAACTCCCAGGTAGATGTGGGACGACTGTGTGAAAAGAGATATAAAAACGATAGGACCAGGAATCAGTTAAAGAGATGCTGCAGAGAGCAGAGACAGATGACAAGATTTGTATTTAGCGACATAGTCTCAAAAAAGGAACCAAGGTAACCAAAATGAAGACGAATTTTATAGATAAAACATAGTTACACAGAGTGTTCAATAAATTAGGAAACAGGTCAATTGTTACAAACAATAAGAACAATAGAAACCCACCACTTTACTCGCTGAACACTTTAGTACCAGTTTAAACATAGACAAAGACATATCTATTGAAAAAAATATACTGTTCAAAGAGATATTTTTTTAGTTTTGAAAGTTTTTTAAGTGACTAATTTAAAATATTTTGAATCACTTCGGTGATAAATTAATAACCTAAAAAATTCGAGCTTAATTTTATAAATTATTTTATTCAAAGAAGACGATATTTTATGTAAATTATATTTTTATTAATAGTTTAATGAATTAATCAAAATCCTTTTAAAATAATTTAATTAAGATTCTATAGCAAATAACTCGTTTCTAAATATCAAAAATAGTTATTTTATAGTGTTTAGATTTCCTGAAAAAACTTATTGATATTACCTCATCTTCTACACCAAAATGATTTGGTGAAGTCCATATAAAAAAAAAATTTTGAAATTAGTAGAAAATTTCAAATAAATAATATAACTTTTAGTGTCTAAAATAGTCTGCAATTATTGATTTTTTCCAGTAATTATTATCTTTATGATTCATAATCTAATATTTTTTTATACATTTTATTTCGTGATTAAAAGAGAATGATTAAAGAATAAGAAGAAGGTGTTTTAAACATTTTGAGTAGTGAAATTTAAAGAAAATATGAGTTTGTCCAACTAGATTATGAAGCAACTAGCCTTTTTCTTTCTCTCGATAGTGATTAGTGAGAAAATAACCTTTTTGTACCAATTAGAAGTGGGGAAATATATTTTTATATTTAAGCAAATCTTGAATCAATTTCATTGGGTTTAGTTTTCTTTTATGCCTTTATATTTTTTGTATTGTTAGATGGAAGGCATCTTTTTATGTTCTGAACAATTTTGAATAATGATTGATGCGTGACAACATTAAAATATTCGAACCATACATACGTCAAATCATAAACATATTTTATATACATGAAACTAACTTAATATAAAACGATAAACTAAGTTTAATATATTCAAATAAATATATGGGCGTGCGCAAGGGATATACTATGATGCTCTAGCACACATTGACAAAAAAAAGGGACTTGTATTATTGATCTAATGATATTATGTAAAATGTTAATAAATTTCAAATATGTTTTAGTTTTATACAAATTTTCGTTTTTTTTGATAAAAATAATGTACTTAAAAGTTATAGTCTCATGAATTTTAAAAATATTAAGAGTACACGGACGAATAGTACGCGCACCTAAATATCTCCAAAACTTTTTATTTTTAGGCTTAAGCGGTAAGAAACAAAAATGATTATCTAACCCATTAATATTATACTTACAGAATTTCATTACAATATAATATCATTATTTTATTCTTAAATACAAAAAATTTGAAAATAGTTATTGATAAAAAATTTTTCATAAATCTCTATGTCAAAAATATTTTAATTTACATTTTAAACTTAGGGTATTTATGTAAATTTATAGATAATGGCATTATCATTGATTTAAATGTTAGTTTAACTATAATAATATAAGATGTATTTTTAATAAAAAATTTTCTTCAAAAAGATTGTTTGAAATAATCCTGCAAAATTGGTTCAGGGAAATTAAACGAAATTTTTTGTTACTTTTTAGCTTCTATACGAAGCTGAGAAGGTATTAATTTTACCACATTGTGCTCATATTTCCTTCTTTTTGTGTGGTTTTCTCTTACTACTTTTTCTCAGGTCTAACTGGACCGATTTTGTTCAACAATAAAAATTCAAAAGGTCACATGTCGTGTCTAGTTGAAGACATAATCCTTAAAATGTGAAAAAATTTCCCTCCTTACCATAAGTGGAAAAATTCCCATAAACAAAATAATTTTGAAATCGGTACATTTTGATATATTTATACTATTTCTACTTAAAACTACAGTAACTTTTTGAAAGGTGAATAAATCAAAATACTTTTTTTTATATGAATACCTTAGGTATTTCTTTTTCTGTAGTTAAATTTTTTTTATAAATCTATATATATATATATACAGGGTGATTTTTTTATCATAACCCACTCAATTACTTGCAGAATAATAATAATTTAAACATTTTGTTTTTTTTATTATCTTTAGTTACACATTATTCTTGAATTTTTAACTATGTAATACTTTTTAAGTTCATCCCTTATGCCTTGGAGGGGGGTCAACTTTGTTTTTTTAAATGGTAACACATATTTTTAATTTAATAAAATGTTTGAGTTTTTAATTTAATAGTAAATGGCATTTGAATTTTTAATATAACTTTATTAGCTTATTAGATATAAACATTTAAAGTTTCAAAATTTTGAGTTAATATACATGTATAATACACATGGGATTGTAAATACAGGTAGCTAATTGGATTTTTATGACATTGCTGTCTCAGTCACGGATTGTTTATTATCAATTATGATTATCAATAGATATATTTTCTGTATTGTCAGTTAGTGTATTTATATACTCATAACAATGTATCTTACTGCAATTGATAATAACAACGCTGTGTACCTGCTAATATCGATGTCATAAAAATCCAATTAGCTACCTGTATTCACAATCCCATGTGTATTATACATGTATATTAACTCAAAATTTTGAAACTTTAAATGTTTATATCTAATAAGCTAATAAAGTTGTATTAAAAATTCAAATGCCATTTACTATTAAATTAAAAACTCAAACATTTTATTAAATTAAAAATATGTGTTACCATTTAAAAAAACAAAGTTGATCCCCTTACAAGGCATAAGGGATGAACTTAAAAAGTATTACATAGTTAATAATTTAAGAATGATGTGTAACTAAAGATAATCGAAAAAAAAAATTTGTAATTTATTATTATTCTGTAAGTAATTGAGTGGGTTATGATAAAAAAATCACCCTTTATATATATATATATAAATTCCAAATTACATTTTGTAATACACATTTGCCTTAGAGGTAACAAAGGGTTTGGTGCAACATCTAGTTTAGTCCATTTTTTATCATTTTGAAGGAGAAACAAATTTTTCGTAATTTTTCATTAAATGCAATAGTAAAATATTTTTCTAGATTTAATATATCCACAATAGAAATATAGAACTCGTTTTCGTACTGAATTACACAGAAAATGAATATTATTCAAAACTAAAAATAAATTAATTCCTTAATAAGGAGGACTTACTTGGTTGTTGTACTAAGCCTTTCATAATATCTAATGGTGAATAAAGGCAAGAACACGTGGTGTTTATCTGATAGCAATTTAATAATTTTTATAGATATTCTCTTTGAAAAAATCTTAATTACACCACTTATGGAGAAAAATGCGAATATTTTTAATGCACAGAGTGATTAAAAAGTCTCCTAAGATTCTGTACGATATCGCCATTCGTTAGATTTACTTTGTGCATTGATCATTATCAAACGATGCCATGATACATTAGTAACAGAAATAAATTGACAAACTTATCATTCTAGTGATATATGGTTCATTAACTTTAATCAAGCGGTTACTTAGTTGTATTAATCGGATAAAAACTTTTGATACACCAGTTCTACAATTGCGATTATACATTATTGAACTATATTTCAAGAAGTAACAATTTTCGTTTGACTCGTGAAGTCTTTTGAATGCATAAGTCTCAGTCCATGACTGAGACATAAATTCATAATTTAACCTACCAAAACTTTTTTCCCTACAGACTTAGTGACATACAATAAAAAAAGTTTTACAAAGATTGCATAGTCACTTTGTAGGTATCATCACGTTCGTCGCTATATCGATTTTGTCAGCAAAGGAAATTCACTTATGTATTTATTTCCACCTTTAGTGTTGGTACCTGGGTCATATAATCGTGTTTAATGAATGATTAATGTTGTGCCCGTGTATTAATGTAACTATAGGAAACGGTTAACCTTTTAAAAATCTAAATATTGCATTACAATTGTATAATAAAAACTTGTATTATCAAATTATTCTTTATGTGAAACAACATCGTGATGCATATTTTCAAAATGCTTTGATAAATATTCGATTTTTTTTTTGTTACATGAAATTTACCAAACAAAAAAATACGTAATAGTGGTTAAAAATTGCATATAATCACTATAATTAAACAAATTTTAACTATAGGTAAGGAAAAAAATCATAACTGGTAAGAAATATTAAGATGAACGTACGTTGACAATGTTTTCTTTTATTGTTTTTATATTTCATGAAACTATATACTAGGTATTAATGTCATACTTTATGAGGTTTTTGACATTATAAAACAAATCTAAATGGAAAAATATTTCCCGAGATCTAAACGACAATAATTATTATTTTTTGCTATCGTTAATTTGTTATTACGTGCACTAAATACAAAATGAAAAAAAAAATACCAAGTACACGGTAAACGAGAAAGTTAATTCAGAGGGCAGTAAGCAATATTATTATTACTGTTTCGTGACCACCTCTTGTGATTTCCTACAACTGACCCAAACAGCTCACATCGAAATTTCGATGCGTTTCCGTTTTGCTTACCGTCTCAATAATAGTTATTAAAAATAGATCTAAAGTGCAGAACGAACATGGAAATCACTTTTTGTTGCTTCTATAAACACCACATTTAGGTCAACTTCTCACGGCTTACTGTAGTAAGAAACTAATAGATTGGTCGATTTTGTGGTAAATAAAGAAAATCCACAGAGAACAATTAAAAACAACATAATTGAAGTCATCTCAATCAGCGTGTTTTCGATAGGATAACGACAGAGTATACCATACGACGTGTGTCCATGTGTATTCTAACACTATCATTCTGATATTATTCTTTCCCCGTCGGGTAAAATCAGCTTTTGGATTTATTTCGAAGTGTTTTAATCATTCGATGCGAGACGAGATGTGAAAACGTCATTTGTACGGTTTGTCGTTACCAGTCGTTATGGTTACAAAAAAGTTTTTTTTAACTTTAACGATAATAAATTACACGCCCACCCTAGTTATTATTTCATATTTTGAAGAATAGTGCCCATATAGTACAACAATACATAGTTACGTATGATATTTGATTAGACGTTTAATAATATATTTTCATGACTATTGAAGGGGAGGATGTGAAAATTATTTTTAATAATAATATTTCAAGTATTTTTTTTTTTTTTTTGCTTGGGATAAGATACGAATGTTTCCTTTTCGTGACAAATATCTAACTCGAGTATATAAGTTTGCTAATTTCGAGAAATTTCAATTATTTTATTTTCGCTCATACATTGCGGGATGTCATTGTAGCAGTGACAGCGTCAACACCAGCACAGTGATCAATCATGTAATATTTTATTATTATTAATTCAAAAAAATTATATATTTTCGCCATCATTAATTGTTTTGTAATTCGAATTATAGCTATTGACCTCATTTTTATACCTGTACCAGAAAATGACAGTATATTTAATCTTTTAGATATTTTAAGGTTATTGTACGTCAGGCAATGTTTAATTGTTGCACAAGTTTTATATACGTAAGTTCTTGATTGATTTTATGAAATTTTTTTTTCGATTTACGTGTTTACTCATATACTATTTTAAACTTAAACCAAAGTCATTATTTTGAATATTTAATGACTTATTTGGAGAATATTTTTAAGTATCTACTCAAAATTCACTAAACTCTAAAATAAATCACTTCGATTTATTGAAACTCTATCAAATTAGATTTAAATATGATGTGTTTAATTTCTATTCATCAATATGATAAAATTATAAATTAGAAAACAACTTTTATCAATGAGATCTTTGAAACGATTCAACAATACATAGCTGTATGTTGAACATTTTACATGTCCATATAAATAAAGACGTATCTAATATATATTTATATTATAAGACAATTACCAACCAAATATATGAAAATTATCAACTTTGTCAAATATACAAATTCAAATAAAATATAATTTATTTGATATACTTAACACTATGAGTATGGGCACAATTATTTTATAATGAATGACTGAACTATAAAACGAAATATATATTTGAACAAAATTACTGTTGTTGAATTTGTTTTTTTTTTCAATTATAACTAATATAACAATAATAAGAATGAAAAAGGAAAAATATGAATGGACTTGACATTTAAATTATTGTTATAAAAAAAGTAACTAAGGTTATTTTTATCTTCTTAAATCTAGTTTTTAGTTATCTTAACAAAAATGTAGGTACATTTTACTCAAACAAAAAAAGATAGGTAAGCTATTCAACATCCACAGACCGATTGCTACCAGCTTAAAAGAAATGACAATCTACAATGAAAATGAAAAAAATAACATTTTCTAACGTTCTCTTACAAGATGAGAAAGGTCGTCTTGATGTCCTAACGTCCGGTGGGGTTTAAGACGATAACAGTACGCGCCATTAAGTATTGAATGTAAACTTCCACAATAGGGCAGTCACACGTTTACACGAAGTACTGGAAAAGGTCGTTGTAAAACGCTTTGATCGTTATGATCACCGACAGCAGCTATGCATTGTGCTTACCATAACGTAAATAAACGAAAAATAAATAATTTTGTATGCTATTCAAATAAAAATAACCACGAACGCAATAGATTTTACTTTTACTTGAAGAGAAACTTAACCAAGTCAACCGTTACAAATCTAGCATGTTTTGAAAAATGGCTTTTTACTAATATTATCTAAAATTATTTTTATGTATTCATACTAAAAATAAACTAGTAACCATATTAGCTTCGATTATCTAACTAACATATTTTCTCAATAATTTAATAATATATTAATTCTGCATTTTTAGTAAAAATAAAACAAAGAACAAAAAACTCGATTTTAAATTTAATTTTAAATAAAAATATTAGATTAATTATTACAAAAATATTTATAAGCAGTTTTCAAGAATAACAACATTGATACTTAACAATGTTGAACAATTTTGGCAGTTTGAAATCAGACACAACTCTTAATAACACACAATAAATTTAAAAATTAAAAGTTATACAACATAAAGTAAAAAATATTTACAAGAATATTATAAGTGTTCAAATTTACAAAAAAAACATTTGCAGAGTTGAGACTTATAAGATAGATAAATTCAATTTTTAGTTTTGAAATAATAAATGCTTATAACTTTAATTGATAAAACTTTTGATATACAAGGCGATCAATTTTGGAAAAACACCACTTTTCCGAGAAGTTATTGTACATTTTTATTTTTGTAAAATTACTAAGTTAAATTTTATTAACATTATTTCTTTATTCAATCGACTGTTTGCGTTTTAATATTTTGGAATTTTGAATTATAATAAATATTCGTCATTAATTTAATTTACTTGATACAAGTGTCAAAAATAATTTATTACAAAAGTCCATACATTATTTTTTATGATAATAATCAATAAATAATTTCTCTACCGGTTGCCCACAATATACGATAATAATAAACTTGGATTGAACATAAGAGTATATGATAATTAATAGATATGAATTACTAATGTTTAAATTTGTATTACATTAATATTATTAATATAAACCCATTGAAAACTTATTGTAGTCCATCGTTTATTAATTAAAAATAATAGAAAAATGAAACGTTTTTTTTAGTAGTAGAATGTATGAATCATCAGATTAAGAAATCATAATTCATTATGAATTACCACTTTGTAATTTTTTTAATTTTAACCGATTCTCATATTAAGGAATACATCCAATGCATGAAGAAATATGAAATAAGGATTTCTTTAAGTTCATGTGACAGCTCATAGCTATAACATGTTATAACTATGAGCGATCAATATTTTTCCTAGGTAATAGGATAAAAAATAATACTTTTATAAATTATATATATTAATATACTAGAGAATTTAATACATCAATTGATGTTTGATGATTTTTAGATCATTCCAATAAGAAAATTGGCTATTAAAAGTAGAAACACAAAATCTGATTGGTGTGATGACATTAATCGTACATCTACAAGCATACAAGTGTACAAGGGTACAAGTGTATTAGATGTAAAAGTGTATAAGCGTGAAATGGTTTAGTGATGAGCATCATCTAAATACTGCACACAATTTAAAATCATTTCTTTATATTATAGTAATCACCGTACCAGAGTGAATTAATTGTATATAAAATATTTATCTCAGTAGTCTAAGTTTTTAAAACACTGTAAGGAATAGCCTAAAAATACTCACACGACAGTATATTTTTAATAAACGTGTTAATTTTACACACAAGTAGTGTAATTTCAACATAAAGTATCGAAAATTCGTACACAAATATCAAATTTTTATTACTATTTATGAACGTTTTTCCTTACATTTATACGTAAAAATCTTCCAATATATGCATGTAAACATTTATGTTTTTTTAAGAGTGTATGGGAAAATATTAAATTTAACATTGTAAAAAACAAATTTAATTTAATTTAATTAATAATATGTATTACTAACATAAAAAATCATACTTAAAAACTTATATTATTGAGCCGAATTTAATAATTCTAACTTTTAAGTATAAAGTGGTTCAAAAACAAAACGAATTCTATATTATAAAAATATAATCTCACGTACTTTTATAAATTTTCAAAATAAATAAGTTCCAAAGTTCTTATTGAACTGCTCCCTGATAATGTGAAACTTAGCAAAATTTTATAATTACTTCAAGTAATGATTATTGTTCCCGTCGGAATACTTTTTGGTACGTTTGATTACACAATAAATGTTTAACTTTTAAATGAAACAAAATTATCAAACATTGTTTGAATATTTATTTTATTTATAAAATTACTAAAAAAATGTCAATATAAAATCAATAACTTTCTTAATACAATCGTTTCAATGATTACCTTTGATATTCGTAGTCAATACTGCGTCTTCGTTCGTCTTTAAAAACTTCACTACTCTTACTGACAGTCATGACATTTATAAGTTATGGCAACCCATCAATGTTACATTCATTCTTAAACAAATATACATGAGTTTTTGTAGTTTTCTTTCAGTCGACAGATTTTTGTTTAAAATCGGGAATTTGTTTGGATTGTTATTTGAATTGTGGTATTATGTATTTGATTGAACGAAAACGTCTTCCACGTTATACCATATTATTGAAAACATAACAGTAGATATTTTAAACATTTTATTTGAGGTCATAATTTGGTTCAATGAATCCCTTAATTGGTTTTAAATTATTTATGTGCACGAGCCCGCCTATAGGAGAGACTGGGGCTAGTTGACACATATTTTTATATTTGTTTCTATTATAACAATAATATTTCATGTAGAGTAATGAACTTCATAGATAACTTCAAAAACACATAGGCTTTAATATAACAAATTTATTTTGTCCAAATTAATTATTTTATTTAATCTACAGATGAACATATTAAAAAAAAATTGTACACAATGCTTATATACAGTAAATGTGTACCTTGAAGCACCTATCTACAAAAATGAAAAAAAAAATTATTTTTGATTAACTATTATAGAATTCTTAAGTATGATAGACAACATGATTTGAGTTTTCTTTAGTACTGTTTTTTTTTCTTAAGTATAAATTAGATAATATTACCAGAATCACTGTTTTTCTGTAATAGTTATTTGAAATTAGATTTTTTGTAGATTACCCTTGTAGTCACTAAGTACAATATAAGTATTAAGGTATCTATACAAAATTATATACGAGAAAAATTTTTCTAAAATAAACAGAAACTATTAGTATATAGATTAATTTGCTAATATTCAAAACATTTATGAATTTAACCATTAAATGACATTATAATAGTAAAATTATAATAGAAATAAGATGAAAGGTTCTAAGGTATAACTATACCTAAGACTAAGATTTTAGGTCTAAACTGTGCCTTAATCTATAGTTTATGGAATCAATTAACATGTATCAATTTGCCCCATTTGATTTGGTTGTTTTATTTTTCAAAAATAAATTTTGCTTTTCATAATACATTTTTATTACGGTATTAAAAATATATTATGTATATACTCGCATAATATTATTTAAATATTGATTACAATGCATAAAATATAATTTGATTTTGAGTATAGCATTATTTTAAATAATTTTAATCGTTATATTATAATGATTTTTATAGTCTTATAAATGATTTATAATATTTAAGTTAATCTTGTATAATGATTTCAAATGTTTAATTGATTTATAACGATTCTCATTTTAATTTTTAAGATGAATAAAAATTGACATTAGTAAAGTCTAGTTAAAATAAATAATAGTTATTTAACTATAAATTATTTTATAATAAATTCATACAGATTTTTACGATATAAAAGCTCAATATTTTCAAACTCCTTAGTTCATAAAAAATGATTTTCGATCTTGATCTCTTATATTTATTTATTTTTCAATTATTTTAAATACCCGTAAGACGTTTTGTTTGTTCCTAAGAAGTTGGTATGAATAATCCTTAAATATTATACTTCAAGACTTAAGTAGATGACAGTATCGCATAATATTGTTGGGTTTACTGAAATTTATCATTGCATTAATTATGTTTATAATACTAAATCTATGGCAACCTATCCACAAGACTATAATTTTATTCAACTCCTTAATGATGAAAGCAGTAATAATAACGCTTTATCCTAACTTGAATTTAACCCCAATCACCATTGTATTATTCAATTTATGCCGAGTGTAGTCAATATAATTATCAGCTTTTTCAATAAAGATATTTTACGGTTTTCGTTTATCTTAACAGGATACATTGTTTATTAATGCTTTTAAATAAAATATGAACACTGCAAGGAATTGAAAAGATATAGCTTATTATAAGTGCTTATGAATATTTTAATTCTTACGTTCTTCTTTTGGCCCTCTTTATTAGATTCCGTAGTGCCCCAAAAATCAACTCTGTAGTAAAATGTTTGAAACATGATTTTTAGTAAATAAGTGTGGACGTATTAAAAGTAATGTACCTATTTCAATTATATTTGAATTAGTACAATCATCAATGTTTGTTGATAAGTATAAGTTTCAATTTAATATTATGTACATAAATAATTATGTTGAAACAATAATTTTAATAATTTATATGTATAAAACGCATTTACAATATATTGTAATTAGTTGATTAAACTATAATTTATATTATTGAACAATTTCCCTAGAGAATACAACTCTTATAATTGACACCGATGTTTAATTGAAAACTCATAGACTTCTATTAATATTATATTATTACCAGGAACTAATGCAATTACCTTAACACTACAAAGTAATTAAATATTCACTTCATTTACCTGTCAACCTGAGTTCAAAAATAAAAGTGCGCGTTTTACACGTTGAAAATATCCTACGACCTGAAGTATTGCAACCAGTTGTATAATAAACTATTATATTTTTATTGTCTCTATTAAGATAAAAATATATGATACAATGAAAACTATAAAGTATGAGAATAATTACTTTAAAAAATGATTGATTTAACGAAGTACGTCCATAGAGACGGAGAATATTTTTTAGAACAATTTCCAAAAAACTTTATTATGTCAGCAGTAATTACTTGATATTAATATTTAAGTATTTCTGAGGAAATAATCTTAAAAAATAATCTAGTTAATAATCTAAATTATTTTTAATAAAACTATGGAACAGTTGTTTTTTAATGATAAAATAAATGTTAATTGAATTTATTTGAACTGTTTAATTCCTATATTAGCATTAATTCATCGCTGACATAATTTAGAAAAATTAATAAAAAATTATCTAGTTATAACTTACATATAAAAATTGCTTTAAATCCAAATTCAATTATATACGGCTTAAAGTGTGTACACTGACTTTAAAGTTTATTGCAACCATAATTATGCTACCTACTACTAATGTTTTTTTTTAATATAAAAATCACACGAACTGGACTAACGATCGGTTTTATAAAAATATTACCGGCACTTATTACCTGAAATATTACCGACACTACAGCTCTAAAAGGTACCCACTTGAACCCATTTATGTACCACTGGCGATTATTACTAGTTTAAGGTTTCAGCTAATTTTGTTGGTTATAACATTGTGCCCTACGCATTTGTATTTTATTACGCTTGTGGAAATCTCGTAATAAGTATTTTGTGCCCTACATATACTAAAATTATACAGGCCCCGACAATTTCATTTACCATAGACATTTTAAAGAAAAATAATTACCCAATCGACGTAATCAATAATACGCCGTAGTATAAATCTAAATATTTTATGATACGATCAACATATTTTTTACCTGGGTATTCTATCGTAGCTGTCCCAACTCGTCAAACAGTTATATGAACTGTAGTTGGATGAACCCATGTGGCGTTCGTCGTGTTTCCATTTCACGCACTGGCCGCCGCCACGTTTCGGTGCCGAAAGAAAGTTAGAACCGCGCGGACCAGTCGCGCCGGCGTGTCCCTCGTTCCGCAGCGCACCGCTGTGACGTTACAGCCGACTACCTTCCCCTATATGAAAGGTACACTAGCCCACACGTGTGTCGTCACTCCACCGCCCAATATCTTATGGTACTGACACTATGTAGGTGCACCTAACCGAATTTGATTGTATCCGATTGTCTCTACCCCACTTTTGTCTATTCTATTTAAGTTCGAAAAATACGAGGCCGATACAATATTGCCGTTGATGGTTTCCAGTTCTTCTTAGGCTCAATTAATAAACAAAAATCTATGTTGTAAATAATTTATTGCCATGTACTACACGTATAAATGGTTTATAAAAAACTAAGTCTACCATTACATGGCGTTATATTTATATAGAAAATTAAAGGTTTCGAAGTATAGATTAAAAACTCATTATTAGAATGTGTAGCAAGAGCTTCTTTAACCTATACAACGTTTGAATTGTTCTTTATGTATAAAAATATCTCATGAAGGGTGTATTTGACTTAGAAAATATTTGATATAAAATAACCTTTTTTCTTTTGAGAATTTTACGATTAAATTGTAGCATAGGTATTTATTAAGAATATCATAAACAAGTTTAATTAAAATTTAATTGAAAAAATATTGTTACATATTTTACAGACTTAGACAGTATAATAATAGAGTTTAATTAATTAAAGATTCTCAGAACTTAATGAGATTGGTTTTTATTTCTTAGAAATCAAATTTTTACAATTAGAAAGTAAATCAATACAAATTTTAAATAACATTAAAAATAAACAAATAAGAGGAGCCTGAGGGAACTAATTATAATTTTATTCTCTAAAATTGTTGTTTAAAATACAAAAATTTTAATTTTATTCAAAATAATGCCCAAAATATTATTTTTCACCATATAAAATGGGATATATGTTTCACAAATCGTAGCTGACTTGAAATAAAATCTTAATTTAAATGTTTAAATCAGGGAATATGTTGATAAAAAGATGAGTTCTGCTATCTTATAAAAATTAAGTTGGCCTCCCTTGCATAAATCCAATTTACGGCACAGATTAATGTAATATGTAATATTATTTTTATTATTACAATTAATTTATAGAATATTTATTATTGATTAACTTAAAAGTTATTAAATAGATATCAAACTAGAATGACAAGAATTTAGACTTACAGTTTTACTTTGAAAGACTTAAACTTTTGTTTAATCTGACATTTAAAACGTTGTTATAAAGAACTCCTAATTATATCTTCTTATTGGTTATAGTTTCTTTCTAGTCTTTGTAAAATACAAAACAAAAATTAATGACATAAGACAGTTACAAAACTGCTAATGCATCTTCAAAATTGTTATATGACATATTTTTTATTGACTACTAGTTATGATTTTTATACTTCGTTATTTGTTTATACTTTATATTTATAATTTTCAATGAATAAGTAAAAACGTGTTAAATACTCAACTGCTCTTTTGTGCGTAGGTACTTTATGTTTACTTTGATAACTTTTGTTGAATAACTGCGGGAATAAATATTTATATTCAAGTAAAAGTATTTTGAACCAATTAGTTAGTATTATTCAAGAAATGAACTTGAAATGAATTATTTTACGAAGTTATATTAACAATGAATGCGATTAATTTCTAAATATAATCGTATCTTTTGGTAAATAAAAAATTATTGAAAAGGTTTGTATAATGGTTGATTCATAAAATATTTCAAAATTATAATTGATCTTTTAGTATTCAGTTTTTATCTTTTAGTAAATCGAAAAAAAGGTAACTCTTAGTGATCAGTTAAATAAATTTAATTTTACTTTTTTAGAGTTTTTAAATTAATGAAAAACATAAGCATTTTGCTTAAACAACCGAAATAATTTAAAAAACCAAAATTTTAACTCATTATTACGAAGTCTAATTCCCAATTTAAAAAAATTTTAACTATTTTTATTTAAAAATAATAATAGTAACTACATTTTTTATAAAGATTTGAAATAACGTAAAAAGTTTCTAGTCTAGAGTGTTACATAATGCATTTATAATAAAATGTAAAACGTATAAAAGATGAGTCATTGCAATAGTTGGATCAAGTATAATGATATCTGACAGTGATTAAAATCACTATAAAAAAAACACTTCGATGCAAATCTTTAGATAGTGTTTAATTTTAAAAAATTGGTGGATTATTCCAAAAGCTTCATAAATTGCTAGTTCCTTATTAATATCCTGATTAAGATAAAGTATGTCGAATGAAAAATGGAATTATTAAAAAATAGTATTTCCCATAAAAAAATTATATTGATCAATACACTTTTAAATAAGTTATAGCATTATAAAGTTAAAAATGTAAAAAATAAAATTGAGAATTTTCACACAATAATAGAATTTGGTAGCCATTTTCACCGTGAAGACAAAATAAAGTCCGAAATTTTTTTTTTACATAATAAAGTAGATTACATTAGCTTTAATTTAAGATATATATAAAAGTGTCAGACTTTCCGGAACACTTTCAAAATTTAAGTTGAAAAAGTCAATTTTTTGTGAAAAAGTTGTCATTTTGAATCCCCCCCTGTAGGCAGGTAAAAAGTCAGATTTATAAAAAAAAATATACCTAATGATAGGTAAAGACATCATGCATCTATAAAAATAAGAATTATATTAATATGTTTATTTTTAAAAAAGTTACGGCAGTTTTTAGTAAAAAAAATTGAAAAAATTTCAAAAATTATTCATTTTTAAATTTGTAATTTTTTCGGAGGTTTCCCCCATTTTCGGGGAACGAGGGAAATTTTTTCAATTTTTAAGGGTAATGTCTTCGACTAGATACGATTTGTGATCTTTTGACGCATCATTGAAAGAAATCGGTTCGGTGAGAGGTGAGAAAAAGTGGTAACAGACACAAAAAAAAAAAACACATCTTAGTAAAACCAATACCTTTTCAGCTTCGTATCAAAGCTAAAAAAGGTACAATTTTTTTTTTTTTTGAGAGAGAGAGAGAGAGAGAGAAAATAACATTCATGTTACTCGCATATTGTCACTTCAGTACCATGGTAATTGACCCCAGTACTACATCACAACATGATTGTGTATGACATGAGAGTTAATTAAGTACATCTTTATAAAGACTTAACCTCAATTAAAATTTTTTTTTTTTTTTGATATTTATATTCATAAAATAATGCGTAGTGGACGTTTTAAATTAAAATTTTACATATTTTCGAATTGATAATGATATTTTTTACAATGTAAAACTAAATAAATGTATATTAGATTAGATCAGATTTCATATTTTATAATGCAATTTCATAGTAAATTTAAAAACAAAAATATCATAAGAGCTTCATCAAAATTTATATCATATATTTATAATTCAGATTATTACCAATACTGCCTTGAATGTATACAGAGTGTCTCAGACCTAACTGACAAAGCTTATAAAGTATTGTATCAAAAGTTATAGCTTTTGATACAATAATTATTTTGTTGGAACATTTTTTTAATAATTATTATCTTCTTAAACTGTGTATAAAGCATATTTTTTAATTATTTATAGTTAATAAGAAAACAATTAAATTTTTATATTTCCAACATTTCAATATAGACATATTTTAAAATTTTTCTTACAAAATATTTTAATGGGTCAATAACAATTTTAGAACAAATTATTCAGTTACAAGCCATACTTGTATAGAGTACGTACCATACTTGCGTGGGTATGGAATGCGAGTGGAGAATGTGTTATAAATAAACACCAACACGAGTTTTACCTACCCGCGCTAAATACACACTCAATACATGAATTAAAACGCTTGTAACTCAATGAGTACTTGTCCCAAAATTATCATCCACCCATCAAATTTCTTTGTAAAAAAAGCGCCAAAAAAATGTTTACTTGAAAATTTTGTAAAAAAAAAAATTTTTTGTTTTTTATTCTTGATGAATGATAAAAAAAAATATGCGCTAAACGTAGTCTATAAAGGCAACAATTATTTAAAAAAATTAGCAAAATAAAAATTGTATCAATAGTTATAAGCGTTGTTATTTAGGTCGAGACAATGTATAAACTGTGCATTATACATTTTTAAAAGTGTGTTCGAATAATTTACCAATCAAAAATGATAAGGAAATCTTGATAACTTTCTAGACTTCTGTCTATAGCAAAATTATATTATCTTTCGTCTTAGCTAGATGACTTTATAAATGGCTTTCTAGAAGTTATCTTGGTTAGGTTTTTTGTTATCTAGATATTTTATTTATCTACAATTACAGAGATGTTTAGCAGTATTCAAAATTTAATAAAATTTTCTAAAACTTCTTTTATCACATTTAGAACACTTTTACATAACACATTAAAATAAAACTATAATCTAAAAGCGAGCTGTGAATTTCTTATGATAATATACTCTATTGTGCATAATTTTATTTAATATTGCTATCATTTTTTGATAAAGCGATAATCAAAATACATTGTGGACTATGTTTGTTGTATACATATTTATCGAATAATAACTGGGTTATTGTGTCTTAATATTTATAATCATTAATAGTAATATTGCTAATAATACAAGTTATCGAAACGGATGTTCTTTATTATTTTATTTTATCAACCTGTTGCGAAATCCCTCTTAAGTAGATGGTTTAATTTTGTGAAAACACTGAACAATAACATTGACATTACATCAATAGGAGTTTAATCGACATCATCTAAGTTTAAAAAGTACAGTCGAGATCCGGTTCAATAGAGTTAAGCAATTTGTTTAGATTAGTTCTGATTAATAATAGTGATGAAAATTTCGTTCGTAAAATGCTTCGATGCGTATAAAGAATGTATCATATTTACCAAAATTTATATGATTTTTGACCTAATGAGGATTATAGAAAACAATGTATAACAAATTTTTGGTGTTGGATCAGAAGAACCAAAATGTTGGTTTTAACCAAAAATTGATAAATATGTTTTATTTATAAATAATTAATTCTATAGTTTACGTTCGGAGCGAGTTACTAGTCCGAAGTTAAAACTACATTGATGGCCTGCATTGTTTTTTACTCGTTTTTATCATTTTTGTTGTTCAACTTCTTTATCTTATCATTTTTGTTATTCTTTTTTTCATCATATTCTTTTTTTTGTTTTTATGAAAAAACTTATCAATAAATTATTTACAACTACATTACCTGAACTTTTAATTATTCGATTCTTGATATAACTTTTTTCTTTAACTTCACTCTTACTCTATATGT